AAGATTATCAGATTCTAAATTGATATACTAAAATCAACCCAACACCTAGATAACACATTCAAGTAATAAGGCTGGAAAAAGGCAATTTGGGCATCCATAGAAGGTAATTATGCTGGGGTTTGGGGGTGATGTTGACAGGAATGAGGGAGTGGGGCTTCCATCGGTGGATATTATCGCCACCATTGCAATTTTTCCTGTAAGAAATAGGGGAGATTCAAGAAGCCATACTCAAGAAACATCTCCCAGACTGTCTACATGAGGTTTCTGTGTCAAAGTAGTAATATTCACTAAGCAATAAACCCATTGCTTGGCAGGACTACTTCAAGTATCAACCGTGGTCACTCTCTTTCAATGCCCATGTTTATTTACTTAAAGGACTTCAACCTCTTCTTAGTATCAGGAATTACTGTGTTTATTTATTTGGTTTCCCCTTACTAAAATCTAAGTAAGATTTTAGCAAGGGGAAAATGTTGTCTGCTTCCCCTTACTAAAATGAGTGAAGTCAGGGACTATTTTGTTCTCCCCTGTAACCCAAGCACCTAGAATAGTGCCTGGAACATGGCAGATCCTCAATAAATGCACTAAAAACTGGATGGAAAAGATGACCCCTCTGCTGAGTCTGGAAGGGTAGGCAGGAGTAGTCTGTCAGATGGTGGAGGCAATGGCCTTAGCAAAGGCACAAAGGCATGAAACAACATGATCCATCTGCAGGAAAGCCAATTCAGTGTTGCTGGAAACTGACACACAAGGGATGGGATGAAAATTGGGAACCTGTGAACCGTACGAAAAAGGGGCCAGAAGAGCCTTGTTTGACATTCTTAAGAGCTGGGGCTTTCTCATGAAAGTGATGAGAAGCAACTAAAGGGACTTAAGCAAAAAAGTAACATAGATTTATATAGTTCAATCTGGCAGCTAAGCACAGCAGATTTGAGAGGGTCAAGACCGCAAGAAGGGATCAGGAACTTACTACTTAGTTCAGAAAAGTAACAATGATAAAAAAATTCATAATAAACACAGATAACCATATTAAGTATTTACTATTTGCGTCAGGTGCTATGCTAACATCATCTCATTCAATCATCACAGTAATCCTATGAAGTCAGTACTATTCCCACTGTATGGATGAGAAAACTGAGGCACAGAGAGATTAAGTGAATTTGCCTAAGGTTATATGGCTGGTAAGTGAGGGAGCCAAGATCCAAACCCAGCAGTCTAACTGCAGAGCCTGGACTCAAGGCCACTGTTGTGTGAGTAATAGAGTCAAGGCTCATTTATGAGGTAAACTCAGCTGTACTTTGTGATTTCTTTGGAGGTAGAAGGTGAAGTGGAGCAAAGTAACTCCAAAGTGTCTGAATTGGATGACTAGCAATTAGAGACTCAGAACTAAAAAAAAGTCCTTAAAGATCACCCACTTTGGCTGCCTACCCAATGCCAAAATTTCTTCTCTACCATCTCTCTAACAAATGGTTATCCAGGCTATGAATGATAGAATTACATAGATCTAAGTCAAAATATGTCTCCCATTACTACGATGCTACAGATATAAAATATATTGAGAGACTTGGGTCTTCAGAGATTTTATCCACTAATTTTCATACTATGATATGCAGAATTCTAGAATTCTGCAAGGACCTTCCAGTAGTTATCATAGGCTGGCCTCTGCCTCCCCTCTCCTGCTCCAATGAAGCATTGCCAATTTTATAGTACTCATGTTAAGGGTCCTTGTAAGATTTCATTTGGAAAAAAAGTACAATGCTTTTAAAAGGTTTCATAATCACTGATCCAGATCAATAATCCTATTTCATGGCAAAGGAATTTGAGGTCCAACAAATGTGAGTTGGTCAAGGTCACATGTTCAAGTAGTCACAGAGCAAAACAAACCTTCAGATACTGGGACCACCCCACTCTTCTCAGCTACCTTTTTCTCTTTGTTTATATTTTATGTAAGAATATAATTTTTTAAGAGATTTAAAATGGTATACTAAAGTAATATACCAAAGTACATTCATTCTTTTTATATTTCTGATAGCTCTCAGTGCTGTCCTAACATTTAGTCCTCTCTACGGTATCTAGTAGAAGGTAATTCATATAATGTATTAATATTAATTCTTAATCACCACATGCAAGCTCATGGAACAATGGAGTTATAGCAGGAGGTCTAAGTTGACTGGTGTGACTTAAAAGCGCAGATATTCTAGGTAACATTCCTGCCTTATTATTTATGTCCCTGCTTAAGAAAGCAATTCAAGTCAACTCAATTAAAATGTATGCTTTGGCTTAGGGTCCTCCAACTCCCTGATTCTTTAACTGCCCCTCTCTAAAGCTTATAACATAAAACTTGTAACTGATTAAAGCTATGACTTGATCAGGAAAAAAAAAATTCTTGCACATACAAAGATTCTAGAAGCACTCAAGACTCACGCATTTCTATGAACAGCTGCCTCTTCTCTGCCATGGTCTTCCGCTTGTTCCCACTTTCCTCAATCATCCTAGAGACAAAGAAAGATACGATAAACCACTGTATAATTTGACAATTCAACCAAGTGCTAATCATTTGACTGCGAAGAGGTACAGGAAACCAAGCTGCAAATGCACATTTTAAGACCATATCAGTAAAAATAAACTGGAAGCCTGATACAGAAAAAGGTAGACCATTGTACTTTTATTTGATAGCTTCTAAAATATTAATAAGTCAATACTTAATCGAGCTTGTATAATTGCTTCTTGTGCTGAAAATATGGGGCTGTCTTTTCTACCTATATTTTCTCTGCAGAGTCTTGGATTAGTTGAGACAGTTTCCCATATCATTATCGTTTTATAAATAAACATGTTTTACAGGTAAACATGTTACTAAATACAATTTAGAAAATAAATATAATGAAAGGCTGCAACAAATAACATAAGAATTGTTGGCTTACACATAAAAAAATAAATAAAATCTTTTTTCTGTTTTTCTTTTTTTTAGAGACAGGGTCTCACTCTGTCACCGAGGCTGGCTGGAGTACAGTGGTGCAATCATAGCTCACTGCAGCCTTCAACTCCTGGGCTCAAGGGATCCTCCTGCCTCAGGCTCCCCAAGTAGCTGGGACTACAGATGCACACCACCATGCCCGGCTAATTTTTTTATTTTTTGTAGAGACAGGGTTTCACTATGTTGCCCAGGCTGGTCTCAAACTCCTGGCCTCAAGCAATCCTCCAACCTCATCCTTCCAAAGTGCTGGGACTACAGGTGTGAATCATCATGCTCAGCCCTATTTTTATATTAAAGAAAAAAGTTATTCATCCCCAAACCCAAAGATCTCCTAAATGTAAATTTGCTATCATGTGGCAATAGTTTACGCGGACAGACTTAGGCTATGCCTCTGTTAAAATTCTTTACATGCATTATCTCATTTAATCCTCACAAACCCCTTTGTGCTAGTATTATTATTATGTATTATTATCTTCATTTTATAAATTAGGAAACAGATGCCTAGAAAAGAACACTAACCTGCTCAAGAGTATACAACTCAAAAGTGGTAGAGTGGGATCCTAACCCTTAAACTTCTTATATAATTGTTA